GTTCTTCCTCTTATCCTTTGTTTGAGCAGAGATGAGAACAAGCAGTGAGGGACTGACGAGAGGGAGAGCGCGGGCGGTGAACAATGGCTAGTAGCGGAGGTTGAACGAAGACGGCGGCTGGAGCGAGCTGGAAAGGTGCTCGGTGCGGTGGCGACGGAGCAGTGGCGGACAACAAAGCGGGCAAAGGCAGCAGCGGGAAAGGGGGGGAAAAGGGAAAGAAAGAAAGAAAAAGAGAAGAAAGAAGTAGAACCATGGGTTTTTTTTTTTTGAATAAAGGAACTCATGTGTTAGGCGTGGGCACGCCTAACTGCCTTCGAATCTTCTGACCAACCGTCCGAAATTAAGATCCTTAAGCGTGACCACTTGGTGTGGGCATGTGGGCACGCCTAACTACTAGAGAGTTTTCTGACCAATTTTCAAAAATTGAGTTCCTTAGGCGTGACCACTTGACGTGGGTATGTCTAACTATTGGAGAGTCTTCTGACTGCAGAAAAATATTTGCATTCCTTAGGCGTGCATACTAGACGCGGGCACGCCCAACTACCAGCTTCCTGCCACAAAAATAACAAATCACTAAATGCAACCAATACTTAACAAAAACTCCAAAAACACAAGGAAACTAAAACAAAGGCCTTAGGTTGCCTCCTAAGCAGCGCCTTTCTTTAATGTCTTTGACTATATATTACCATGTTTATTCATGGAGGATAAAACCGTGCAGCTCGTTTCAGTGTTTCATCTTCTATGTAGTCCTGATATCCCTCGTAAATAGAGTAATCCTTGAACCCACGAGATATGGTCTTCCATGGATTAGTAGATGGCGCCAAACAAACAAATAGTGACCTTAATTCTTCACTCACTCCTCCATCATGAGCACTTATTGGTTCGAGATATTTTACCATTGCAACTCTTAACTTATTCCTGTCATGAAACTCAAAATTTTCTGGCATAATAAAATCAATCTCACCAATAGAAATTAAAGAATAAAAGTCAGAAGAATATTGATTAAGGAATGGAGGAGATGTCACCACATTTGGAGATTGTTCACTAGATTCATCCACTTGAACAATTTGATATTGGAGTTCCATTTCTTGTACTTCAATTTCCTTTTCAACTGCATCTTTAGATTCTTCTTCTTGAGACTCTTGCAGTTCCATGTCACTTGTCAGGATAATTATATTCTTATCTTCTTTAAAATCGATGTTGGTCTGTAAGGGTAATTCTTCATAAAATGGAGAAATCAATTTGCTCATTGTAGATGCCAATTCACGCCTTCCATCTTCCATCTCTTTAATCAACCTTTGTGTCTCCTGTTGAAATTGATGTGTCTCCTGTTGAAGTTGATATGTCCCCTGTTGAATTTGATATATGTTAGTAGCTAGGGGTGAGTATATTCGGTTCTTACCGAATTCATAACCGATTTCAAATTCAATTCGGTAATTTGAAATCAAAAATTTGGTAATTTGGTACAAATTCGGTACGTACCAAATTCACCGAATTCTAATATGGTATGAAATAGGTAATGAGATTATGAATTAGGTAATAACCGATTTCGCATTCCAATTCGGTAATTGAAATCGGGTACCGCATTACCACATTCGAATTACCAAATTGGCATATAAAATTATATAATATATAGATAAATGCTATTTAGTATTAGTATATACTACTAATACTTTATTATATTATATAGGTAAATGCTATTAATAATAATTAGTATATGGTATTATCAATTTATCATCATATCATGTACTTATAATAATAATAATATATAATAATGTACAATATATTATTTTAGTATTTGTTAATTGTTATATGACTATAATAATACAAATATATAGTAATACATAACAATATAAGATAACTATAATACTTATTATTTTATACATGAGTAACATGACTAGAATTAGATAATAATTAACACATATGTCATATATGCATATTGCATAATACTAAATATTAAACAATAAACATAATTAGTAATTAAATTTAGATATTGGTAATTTGATACATCATTCATGTTTGAATTATTGAATATTTGAATGCGTAATCTCTAACTTGCAAGTATTAGTGCACTCTACATATTTAACTTAAAAATTCATATTATCTATTCACTAATCTTAATTCTTAAGACTTTAAGTATAGATAAGACAGCTAAGTAGTTAGCAGTGTAAGTGAATGCATATGAATTGCAAATCAATGTACTAGTGTATTGACTTTCACAATAACATGTGTAAGTAAATAAGTTTTTATTTTGATTTGAAATAAATTATAAGTTTGTAACTAATATAAGTTATCACTAGTCATTGTAATTTGTAAGTTTGTAACTAATAGTACTTATTATTAATCAGTGTAAATTATAAATTCATTGTAACTACTAATTAATATTGCTTATTATTAGTCATTGTAAATTATAAATTCATAAATTATCACCAATCATTGTATAGTCTAAGTCTAAGGTTTATTCTAGTTTAAGTTAATCACTTTTTATGTATTTCTTAAATCATAGACTAAGGATTCTAGGTATAAGTGATCAAATAAATGCCAATTAAACCACAAAATGATTAGAACATAAGTAATGTGTTCAATTATGAATAAATTTGGGGATCAAATTAGTAATAATTTATAAATCATTGAGGAGCATAATGAATGTATTATAATTTAGGAGCCCCAATTTGTAAATTAAAAATTACACAATCACTGCGGATGAATTTGGGAAAAGTCAGATTTCAGCTGATAATCAGAACAATCACTGCCTAGTGCGGTAGTGCCTTCACGGCTTCACTTAGGGCTTTCACAACTTCACTCCCAAGTCCCAATTCCCAAATCGAAGCTGCTCTCCGCCGCACTCTACGTCTCTCCTGTCTCCATCTCAGTCCTCATTCGACCGAATTTCTCACTTCACCAGTTCATCCCTGCCGTGCTGGTTCATCGCTGCTGAGTGCCAAAGCCGAAGCACCAATCACTGCTCATCTCTGGCTCGCTTAGGTAAGTGCTCATCTCTGGCAGTAAAATGGCCAAGATCGACTTTAAAAGTTAAGACCTTGGGGAAAAATTCCACCTTTTACCCGTTAGAAAAATTAAAAAGAAAAAAACTTGCTAAAATGAAAATTTTACCTCCTTGTCCTTGGAGATTCTCTTAATTAATGGGTCTTGCCAACATTCTGGATGAAGTTATGCACTTGTGCTTCTTTGAAACTAGTCTATTCTTGCCTTGAATATTATATCGGCCTACAACATTTTGCATAAAGCTGAATCTATTTTTTATGGTGAAGTTAATACTGAGTCTTTTTTTTTTACGCATAAAGCTGAGATTTTGCAATTGACATGATTTTTTGCATTATTCTCCAAATTATTGCAGTCATGTCTACTGGAAGTACTAACAATCCCAATCAAGTCATGACATCACCAGATTGGTCAGCTGAAAGTCCTACTCCAGCTCCAGCTCCAGCTCCTAGCTCGGCAGATTCAGGAGGAAAAGAGCCAAAGAAGCGAGGTCCATACAAGAAAAGATCTACAGTTTGGTCACACTTCAAAGAAGTTGTTGAGGGTAAGATTAGATATGGTGAATGCCTTTTTTGCGAGAAACGCATAGCTGCTGATGGTAGGACTAATGGTACAACTGGTTTGAGAAATCATATAACCAGATGTCCTAAGAATCCTAACAACAAATACACTAATCAAGCTACATTGTGTTTTGGGGAAACTGAAACAGGGGATGGGGAAACCAAGGCTGGACTTTTATCATGGAAATTTGATGCTGAGATAATTAGGAAGAAAATTGCTTATATGGTGATTGTCGATGAGTTGCCTTTTAAACATGTTGAAGGCATTGGATTTAAAGAAGTGATGCGTGCTGCTTGTCCTCAATTTAGAATGCCTTCTAGATGGACGGTCTCTAGGGATTGTTATCAACTTTATTTGGATGAAAGAACAAGATTGAAAAAGTTGCTTAGGCACAATTCTAGTAGAATCTGTCTCACAACAGATTCTTGGACTTCAATTCAAAGAATTAATTATATGTGCCTTACAGCTCATTTTATTGATAATGACTGGAATTTAAAAAAAAAGGTTATAATCTGTTTTGGAGGGAAAGTGGCTTCATGTTAGGTGTGTTGCTCATATAATAAATTTGGTGGTTAATGATGGTTTGAAAAAGTTTGGAAACTCTATTGATTCTATTCGTGCAGCTGTGAGGTATGTAAGACAATCACCTGCTAGGTTGAAAAGGTTTAGAGAGTGTGCTACAGCTGAAAAAATAGAATCACAGAAATTGTTGTGTTTGGATTGTCCTACTAGGTGGAATTCCATCTATTTGATGTTGGATGTAGCTCAATTATATGAGCGAGCTTTTGATAGGTTCGCACTAGAGGATCCTTACATGATTAAAGAACTTGAGTCTGTACCAACATCAACTGATTGGAGGAAAGCAAGATATCTTATTCAGTTTTTAGAAAATTTTTATGAATTGACTTTGAAGGTCTCTGGGTCTAAGTATGTCACTTGCAATACCTTTTTTCAAGACATTAGTGGCATGAATGCAGTCTTGAACAACATGATGGAAAGTGATAACCAAGAAATGGCTCACATGGCATTCGGAATGAAAGAAAAGTATGATAAGTATTGGGGACAAATAGAAAAAATGAATATGCTTATTTTTGTTGCCCCCATTCTTGATCCACGTATTAAATTTGAGTATGTGGAGTTTGTACTTATGAAAATGTATTGTCCGTATGATGGTGCAAACATAGCTTCATTTGCAAAAGAAGCTTTAGTGCAACTGTTTTCTGAGTACAAAAAACTCAGCTCCCCTCCTGAAGTCAATGCCTCAGCTTCTTCGAGTAAATCTGGAGCAGTAGATAAAGGTGCAATGGCTGGTGATATGGATGCTGGAAAACGTATCCAACACAAGTACAAAGAGGAGTTTCAAAAGAGAAAAATAGAAGCTGGGGGCAAGGATTCAAAAACTGAATTGGATAAATATCTTGGTGAGGACTGTGAAGATGAAGAAGATGACTTCAACATTTTGACATGGTGGAAGGTGAATAGTCCTAGATTCCCTGTTCTCTCTAAACTAGCTCGTGATGTGTTGGCTGTGCCGGTATCCACAGTTGCTTCCGAAGCTGCTTTTAGCACGGGTGGAAGAGTCCTTGATCCATTTAGGAGTTCTTTAACTCCTAAAATAGTGCAAGCTCTGATTTGCACTCAAGATTGGCTTCGGCCATCGGATTCTAAATTGAATGTGGAAGAAGAATTGGAGGATCTTGAAGCTTTAGAATCTGGTAACATATTTCTTATCTATTGTATATGCTGATTATTGTAAAATTTCATTTCTCTATTGTTTTAAAGTAACTACTATATTTCATTTTTATGTTTTGTTGCAGGCTTGACTAATGGAGGTGCTGAAACTTCAATCACTCTTTAAAGATAATAGAAGTCTGGAACTAAATTATGTTGCAGTCAGTTTTCAGATTTTGATTTCTGATTTCTGGTTTCTGCATTCAGTTCATTGTGACTTGTGAAATGTGAACTTGAAAAATGTCTGTTAGTGTTACTTTGAAGAACTTGTCGTTGTATTGTCTATTGGCAGTTGGTACTTGGTACTCCAGATTTGTATTTGATGGATTTTGGCATTTGTAAGGTGTGTAATAATTTGGATGTTGATTTCCTTTGAATTGGTGTTGTAGGCTTGTAGCCTGTAAGTTTGCAATTAGAATTAGTTTGCAATTAGCCTCATAGCCTGTAAATTGTACGGAAGCAGCGTTGCAAACTTAAGCGGATAACAGGCTTTTTTTTTATTTTTTAAATAGATGAATTCGGTTAAACCGAATTCATTACCGTTTTCAAATTTGAAATCGGTTTCGGAATGAATTCGGTTATGCCCAATTCGGAATTGAAAACGGTTTAAAATTTTACAGGTAGAATAACCGAATTCACCGAATTCAGTGCACCGAATTACCGAATATGCACCGAATGCTCACCCCTATATTAATTCAACTATTTCTTCAAGAAACATACCTGACATGGATGACGGCTCTTGAGACTCTAACTGTTGAAATCTATTGGCCTTTGTTCATAATTAAAAGTGGAATCATCCCACCATCCTTGCTCATACCCGTTTGAATAAGGATCATGCCACGTTTGATATTGAGATGAAAAATCTTCAAAAGTATCGATTGAAGCACTTAGACCATCTTGAAATGTATGGCACATGTCGATTGAATGATCTGAGGCAAAATAAGTTCCACAATTTGCAACAGCCTATAGATCATTAGAAAAAACACGAGTCTCATAACCCCTTCTAGAAATAAAATCCAGTCTATCACCAAAATACGGAATGTTAGCAGCCATAAACTATTAAAAAAAATAAGAGAAAAATAAAAAAAAATAAAAACAATATGAACTCAAAAAGAAACAAATTAATCAGGCACCAGTCCCCGGCAGCGGCGCCAAAAATTGGCAGGTGCCGAACCTATACAATAATAATAAATAAAACCTAACTACCACCTAAAGCAGTCAATAATCAATTCCAGTACTGGAGCAGGGACTCTAGTTGTGCAATGAGTTACTTGATTTACCCTATTCCCGAAGAGTTTGTTTAATCCGATATACCAGATTTAATTATTTGACTGAATTCACTAATTAGTAGACAGTGACAAGTAGGGTCATCACCTCAAGGACTGGGGAGAAATTTAATTCCTTTCGAGTCAAAATAAATGGGAGGTTTGGGAATTAAAAGCTAACTAAATAATTTAACTGCAGAAAATAATTAATTAAAAGAAATAATTAGGAGAACTCTAGCCAAGGGTACACTTCAGAAATGGTTCATGCACTCATCATCGATTCACAGATAATTCCAACATTTATTAATAGATTGGTTATAGTTGTCATGCACGCGATAAACAACCAACCCTTCCTTAATTTCTCGATAGTTAAGGTACGACCGTTAACTATTTTTCTAACTCAAAAATAACCCTAGATACGACCGTAGGATTTAATTTCTAGATTGCATTAATAATTAGAAATGCCCAATCCTAACTAACAAACACGCTACGAGGGTTTGTTTAAGTTAGATCGTACGTTTCCCTGACATAAACCCAATTACGCTAGTTGCTACAGAGATAATTGAACAATTACGGATTCAATTACCCCTAATTAGCAAAATAGCCTAAATGAATAATCAATTATTGCGCACTAATTAATCATACACAAGAGTTATAACAATTAAAAGCAGGAAACATATAAATACCAATAAATGAAGGAAACAATTAAAAATGGTTTAGATCTCACAATGATTGCCGAACCAAATCATTAGTTGCCCCCTTGACTAGAAATAAGAAGCTATTTCTCCATCAATGGAGAACAATCCATGCGAAAACTCAGAAATATTAGTTGACGGCATTCTTCTCCAAATTCGAAGGAAGAAAACTCGATGGAATAAGAATTATCTCTCGAACTACCAAGCCAAAGGGATAATTAAATGTTCCCTGCTATGGCCTTTGCGGCGCACATGATAGATACCTAATAGGAGAAGAAAACTACTAAGACCCCAAAACAAGTCTTCTCAATCTAAACAATGACTAGTCTCTCATCTTGTCGGTTTTTCCACCAAATAAGGAAAACAAAGAGATAAGGCAACTACTGAAGTTTCCTTCTTTCTTGTTTTCTAATGCTAGTAAACTACTAGTCACGAAAGGAAAGGCGTTGGTTTAGCACATCTTGGAGCCAGATTTGCAAGGATTCTCTAGGCTTCCCACGTGCACGGGATTTTCTCAAGAAAGTCATCCTTTTTAGTACTTTTCTGCTCCACTACCTGTAATTAGGTCAAAATACCAAATATAAGTATATTTCGATAATTAAAACAATATTTGGCAAGGACAAAGAGGAAAATTAACCATAAAATTAATAACAAATTATACCCTATCACCTTCCACTTTAGTTGCTAAAGTTCATTCTTGGACTCTTTACCTCTAATAGAGTTTCAAATTTGCCCTACTTCAATCGACCATTTACACAATTTTCAAAATTAGTGGAATATTTTGTTCTACGTCAAGCGTTACTTGCCTAATATTACATTATTTTTAATGATTCTACTAATAAATGTTTCAAAGTGGGATAAATTTGATACTTTATAGGATACAGTATTTAAAATTTAAGGACTAACGTGGGAGCATATCTACGTTTTAAGGGTCCAAAGTTTTTTTTTTTTTTTTTTGGTTTCTGAAGTGAAAGTTACTTAAAGAGTTTGGCAATTTTCTTTAGTACCAAAGGCTAGAATAAAGTTTGAAATCGCAAAACGAAGGCAAGGGAAAATTTTGACTACAGCGAAAGGAACTCTCCATCACAAATAAAACTAGCTTAAAACAAGTTAAATTAATCTGCAAAGTTCAATTCACAAACTCTAACTCTTTTTCTTCTTCTTTTGGTTGATTTATGAGATACTCCAAGATTTTCAAGCCAATACGAGAAAGGACAGGGTTTGATAATGACACCAAAAATTTCATGACTATTTAAGTAATGTCTCTAAAAACTCTTAACACATTGATAACGAAACAAAAAATTTTCATGATTATTTTTTAAATAGTGAACCTATTGAACTTCCAAATTGTAGTTCCAGATCATTTTTTTTATTTATTTTGATGTTAAATGATATGGATAATACATGATACAAAGCCTAGCCTCTAGAGATAACGCTTTAGGAATTTTTTTAACTCTAGCGGATGGTACAAAATTACTTTTCAAAGAGAACCTTCTTCCATCTAGGGATGATGCTCGTTTATTCAGTATTGAACCATCCATCGCAGTCATATCAATTTTATTCAATTATTCAGTAATTTCTTTTGATTATCAACTTGTTCTACCTGATCTTACTATTAGTGTTTTTTTTATGGATCGCCATTTTCTAGTACGGTTTTGTCGGTAAAAATAATCAAATGGATTCATTGTGCAGAAGCGTGCTCCACAAGAATTGGCACCATAATAAATAGAAATTTGGATGTAAGCAAATGTCAATATCATCATTGCACCTCTAATCAGTTTTGTCTACATCAGCAAGATTATTAAAGATAACAGAAGCTTTGGATGATGATGATAAATTAAGGATAGTTAATTGCACAAAAACTACGAAAAATAAAGTAAATTGAACATAAAATTAATTCAACTGGAAACAGACCTTTCCTACAGATAACCATTTGCATATATCCAACCGAAGACATTAAAGTAGCAGTAGCCTCATATGAAGCTAAAAAGAAACCAATCATGAACCGCCTACCACAATATCAACTGTAATGTTTTCTTGTTCTTTTTTTAAAAAAAAAATCTGATTAAACTATCGTTGTTACGTCACTTAGGGGGTGCTTGTTTCACATATTGGAATCGAAAATGGAAATGGAATCATAGACTCTGGTTTTGGAATTAAACTTTTCATTCCAATATCTAGCTTGGTTCACACATTGGAATTAGCATCATTCCAATTTCTGATGCATGGTTTGACGAGTGTTTCGGAATTAAATGCAATTAAATTTCAAATTTACCCCTGATATAACAATTCTTATAAAACAAAGGGATAATTGCAGAAACTGGTAGGTTTTGTATTTAACAAAAATATGAGATTTTGTAGATTTTGAAGTTTAAGGAAGGGATATTTGAAGTTTAACGACCGTTATACAACTTTCAAAACAAACAAATTCATTCTAAATTTTTTTTGGCATAATTTCATAAACCAAATCGCAGTCACTTTCACAATAGTCATATTTTTTCATAAAAGACCAGTTCTTTATGGTTTTTCTCCTTTATAAGAACAGATTACCTATTTTCCCATAAAACACCAGCTCTTTATGGCTTTAGAATGAAGGGTTAAAATGTCGCTGTCTCTATCACTATCAACTTTTGACTCCCTATTTCTTCCATCCCAACCAACACCAGAACGAAATACCATTATTTGCAGCATCTTCAATAGAAGTAAAAAATAGTCCTATATTTGAAGTTTAACGACTGTTATACAACTTTTAAAACAAACAAATTCATTCTAAATTTTTTTTGGGATAATTTCATAAACCAAATCGCGGTCACTTTCACAATAGTCATATTTTTCCATAAAAGACCAACTCTTTATGGCTTTTCTCCTTTATAAGAACAGAGTATCTATTTTTCCATAAAACACCAGCTCTTTATGGCTTTAGAATGAAGGGTTACAATGTCGTTGTCTCTATCACTATCAACTTTTGACTCCCTATTTCTTCCATCCCACCCAACACCAGAACGAAATACCATTATTTACAGCATCTTCAATAGAAGTAAAAAACAGTCCGATATTCACATACCCACTGCATAGCCTATTTGTGAAGATGACAAAGTTTTTCAAGAATCGTAGATTCACTTCAAGGGTTGAGATTTGTTCCTTCAAAGACAGAATCAAATTGTTTTCAAACTTAAGCAGATCCTTCAGATTTACCAGAACACAATCAAAAAATTTCACCAGAACTTCACTACTCATGACATTGTTTGGTTCTAAGGAATGTTTTGCCCAATCAATAAAATCTTCTCTTCTCTAATTTCCACCTTGGAAGCTTCAACCTTTTCAAGCAAATCATCTACTACATGGTCTAATTTCTCGTTTAGGCTTTCAAATTTTGGAAAGCTATTGCTACTATTGGTGAACCTGAATTTGGGACTTTGAAATGAGAAAGAAGATGTCCGATGAAGGTGATGGGTGGCGATTGATTGAAGAAGAAGAGATAGAAAAACTGATGAAGAAGAAGACTCTGGTTTTGTGCAGCGTGTGATGGAGAGGAAAGAGAGGGTAGATCCGTGATAAATATTGTCTAAGGGAATGAGTTGAGGGTTTTGTCCAAAACCTCCCAATTTGCTCAGAAATGATTTTTTAGAAATGATTCCAAAAATGGCATTCCAATAGGCTTAACCCAAGCAACAAATAAGGGGTTTATTCCATTTTGTGATTCCCAAACCCTTTAACCAAGCAGCCCCTTAGTTTTCTTTAGGGAAAATTACACCAACCTCCCACCAATTCTGCTAAAAAACTAAAAAACCCCTACTTAATTTAAAAATAATAGAAACCTTCCCCTAGTTTGTTAGACAAAATCATAAACCACCCCTTTTGTTAACTTTCTATTGGAGTCGATACACATTCAGCAAATATCTCCATATATTTCCTAAAATGGCCTTTTTGTGGATAGCACGATAAGAAATACTTACATTTTATCTTTAACAAATATTTTGAATTATCAGTTGCATTTTATCTTGAGTGTTGAGTGAAATTAGACCAAAACATATAAATTTATGTTTAAGCAAATACATGTAGATTTATGTAAGAAGCGCTGCACAAAATTTACCCATGCCACCTCCTCTTAGATAATATCAGTTGTAGAAAAGTTCTGCTAGAATAATTATAAGCAACCAATTGTTTGTTGGCTATGAAATGGGGCAAGGAGGTTTGTCTTTGATTTATTGTCTTTAGTGTTGTCTGTTGTACTTTGAAATGGTCTTTTTCCGTTTGTAAAATTTGTTTCTATTAATAAAAGTGATACGAAGTTGTTGAAAAAAAAAAAAAAAAATTATAAGCAACCAATTGTTCCAATTAATTAGAGGAAAGTTTTGTATTAGTTCATCGTATTTTAGCCTTGCTAACTATCATGGTCTACTATGTCTCATGTTCGGCGATGCCTTTCCCATACAATAATCAACTATTATGCAAGTCAGGTTCTACAATGTGCTACAAAGAATGAGAGGCATGGATGTTTTAAGAAACTGAAAAATAGGAAAGATAGCCAAAGGCCCAAAGAAAAAAGTAATAAAGAAGAACTAAGGAATTTAGAAAATGAAACAAAGAGAAAAATAAAACCAAGGGTAAATTTGTCCACTTGCATTTATCAGTAACGATTATGGATGAAGAACACATGGAAGGAAGGTCTTTACTATTATGAAATTAAGAGAGGAGATTCCTGACTTTTTTAAAAAGAGAAGGGTTAAATCCACATTCCTCTGCTAAATCCATACCCTATACATTTGTTAGACATTGATACCCTTAGCTTTTAAAAATCAAATTAAAACTTTATATAATAATATCTTTTCTAGAGCAAAAAATTCACACCATGATCTTTATGTAAGTTTTATATACAAATTCATTTTTCTTGCTTGTTTCATTTCAAAATTTATCTTTCTCTAAAGTTATATGATTTACTACCTTTCGTTTGTTAAACCTTTTTTTTTTAACATTTACACATAACCAAATGATAGATATTAGTATGTAGTCAATATGAAGGCATATTCCACCTTGAAAATTGCTTAGATTTTGATTTTATCGAATTGAAATATGTAGACATTGCTATTTACATCATTATTAGTAATTGAAAATTTTTGATAGCTAGATTAAATTTGAAATTATAAATTAATATTCTCACACACTTGTAAAATGTTTGAAAATATTCCCTATTACAATGCAAACATTTGTTATTCCCCTTTTTTGCAATGTAAATATATGTTTCTTAAAACTATTAAAAAAGCATCAAATAAACTTAAAACTAAAAAGCTAAGGCCATTTTTTGTCCAATAAGTGCATAGGATGTGGATTTAGTATGGAGGGGTGTGTATTTAGGCACTCCCAAAAATTAGAAAGAAAGTTAGTGTTATTTACCCTTTTCTTTATATGAACAACACAACCAAACACATTTGAACGTGCTTTCAAAATATTCCCTATTACAATGCAAACATTTTTTTTTCCTTTTTTTGCTATGTAAATATATGTTTCTTAAAACTATATTAAAAAAAAAGCATCAAATAAACTTAAAAGCTAAGGCCATTTTTGTCCAAGAAGCGCATAGGTGTGGATTTCGTATGGAGGGGTAGGGATTTAGCCACTTCAAAAAATTAGAAAGAAAGTTAGTGTTATTTACCCTTTTCTTTATAAGAACAACACAACCAAACACATTTGAACATGTTTTCAAATGTGTTTGTATAAGAAATTATTTAAAATAATTACTGTAGTACTTTTTGTGATATAATGTATATCAAATAAAAAGTAGTTGAAAAAATAAAAGTATGTTGAAAAATGTTTTTATGATACAAGCAAATATTTTTGTAGCAAATAATTGTTAAACACACTCTTTGTTCCATTGGATTAGTGTGAAAAATAAAGTAAAACAAATATACAACTGTTTTACCTTAATACTCAAATCAATTTGGTAGGTTGAATCAATTTCTCATTTTTCTGCACGTTCTCGACTGCTGGAAGATGTATTACCCAAAAAACATTGGATTGCCACACTATGATATTGAAACTGCATCATATAGCTAGCTAAGTAGCTGTATATCTCCAAAAACTAAAAGCTCGCCATTTTCAATTTCTTTTTCTTTCTTTTTCTTTTCGTCTTTACCTTTGCACAACTCTTTTTTTTTTCTTTTTGTTCTGATGAAATAATTATTAGAGACAAATTTGTGGGAAAAATAATCTTTTATTCATGCTACTGCACTTTTTTGTATTTGTTATTTTTGTTATTCTCTAGCTATATGATGGTAAATGAACTTCTAATTTTGGCCCACAGCGAAAAGCTTATATCAAATTTTTACCCCATTATTTCTAACAAATAACAATACAAGTCCAATCGACCCCACCACGCTCACCCTCAAATATACAAATCCTTTCGAATTGACAAGACAGGGAAAAAATAAATAAACTGAATCTAACTCTACGACTTGGTAAACTCCAAGGGATTGCATTGGCTGATGAAGACTACACAAGAAGCAATAACAATCATTTATATCAGAGTGAGATTTTCAGAAATCTTGTATGCTAGCATGCAAGATTTACCAGAATAGGGTATACAAAGTCAAGGAATATATACAAGTTGAGATGATGGTCATATCTAATGTAGATACAGCACGCGCAATCTTCTGTCTAATCAAAGCTGTCAGGTAAATCAAAAACTTGACCATCCCACCCAGTCCGATTATGTAATCCATGTAGATAACAATTGAGGATTGTGCAGCATCATGAGGATGGTTGTAAAGTCCGGGCTTGCCGCAATCTCTCATTCCTTGCACATTCCTCCTAAAAATTGGACAACTTGATTGATAAGTAACTTCTGTTCAAGGCTGTAGTACACTAAAGCACCACTGTGATCAATCCAAATTCCAACATTACAGCTAACAACAAACTTTTAAGTTCCCAACACAAGTTGGCTTAATTCGTAAGGGCAAGTCACTTTATCATAAAAGGTTGCATGTTTGAATTTCGCTGCTGATGCGAGGGCTATGTTTGTGGACAATCTGTAAGAATCCTATAAGCAACCTATGATTCCGAGGGTGATGCCCTGAATCGTGGTGGTGACCGAAGCTGAATCCACCTAAACTTTTCTTACAAAAAAAAAACTTTTAAGTCGGAGGAAATACATTATGCTGACATGCCAAGCTACAAGTGACAAATTAGTTATCCATGATAGGTTTCAGAAGTTAAACTAGTTCCCAAATAGTAAAAATCACAGGATCGTAAACAGTTAATAAAAGGAGACAGGACAGAGTGAAAAAGATAGAGATTATACTTTTCCTTTTTAATTTCCAGCAATTCTTAAATTTTGAAAAACTAAAGTCTATTTCAAGTGTCAAGACAGAATTTTTCCGTTCATTCAATTCTTATTTGTTAAGACTTCCCACTTTTCTGGACTGCATTTTGTCATGGAAACCAATAACATGTAACTTTAACCCATGTGTGTCTGGAACTTGCAACAAACAGAGGTTTTTCTATTCCGATAGCTATCCTTGTGAAATATGTCATTTCCTCCTATTCAGCTATATCTTAAAGATCTGTACAGATACTGTTTTTGGTTAATAAAAAGCTATATCTTAAAGAGAAATAGCATATTCTTGAACAGCGTGTACAATTAATTCTTTGTACTTTCTTCAACATTGAAAACAACATAAAGGTTGCCATATATATATATATATATATATATATATATATATATATATATATATAACAACAGAAAGGTTTTCTTCAACTCCTCACCTGGAAAGCCTTCAAGAGAGAGTAGCAGTGTCTTTGCTCTGAAATAGCTATTCTATGCTTCTCTTTTAGAGCGTCACAAGCCTTTTGCTCAGATTCGCACGCTAATTGCACTTTTTCCAGTTTCTGCAAAGAAAACCAGCTATAAATGATGGAAGTGCTTGATTTCTACAGGTCATGGAACCCCTAATACAGGCAATCAAGTTAAATCCCAGCAAGGACATATTTAAATGGTACCATAACCCTAGCCACCCAAAAAATTGTGAGACTAGCCAAATTCAAAGTGCGCAGTTCCTTAAGTACCCATACACTGATTGTACTTCTTTTACATTTAGTACCTCATACTGAGACTTGTAAAGCATGAATTCAAAAGATCCCATCAGCATAACTGTCAGAAGTTTGGACTATCAAAAACTAAAGCTGACAATTAAATTCTTTTCACCTCAGCTTGCCAAGAGAGATAAAAAGCTAAATCCTTGTACACCATATCTTAGGCACTTAAATTTGTATTTCAATATTAAAGTGTTCAGTTCTTACATCTTCACTTCTTTCTGTAACAAGCGGTTCAAGGCCATGGAGATGCAAAAGTAGGCTAAATGAAACCAGTCCAACAGACAAAACCAGAAGAAGTTAAATAACATTACAGTTTCCATGTTACTGAAGTTTCAGAAACCGACGAGGGTTAAATATTATCAAGGTCTTCTGGTTCAGGCTGTGCTCAACAGTTAACCTCTTTTGCCATTGAAGATACTTATACAAAAATCAGTTTGGCAAGGAACATGCCCATGATGCTTACAGAACTAGCAAGAAAGATCAAACTTGGAAAAAAGAGTACCCACAAAAAAGGGTAACAATAGGTCTCAGAATACACCTAGCCAGTTAAATTACAAAAAGGCCCTTCACTTCTTCAAAATCTCACAAAGAATGGAATCAGAAATATAAAATGAAAACTACATAGTCAGTAGGAAAACTAACAAACAAAAAAGCTCCTAGCCGAGAAGGCAATAAAGGAAGCGGCACAGAGTGGCCCAAGATTGCACATATTCCCCATATTAATATCCGTTGAACAAAGTCAGTAGGAAAACATAATTTGTTGATTCTCATGTTTCTTTGTTTCGTTATAACTTTACTGTGAGCAATATTTCCTAGCCGAGAAGGCATTTTGCAACCTTAAGTTCTTTTATTGGGCAAAGATGGATTTAAAAAATTCGAAAGTTCACTAATGATTAAGGTCTTTCAATGCAACTAAATATAAGCCTGTGAAGCATTTGATTGACTTGTAAGACAGACAAGCTAAATTGATTTTGTCTTCACATGCATGAAAAATAATAACACTGGCACCTGCTGAATCCCCTGCAGAATGCCCTTCATGGAATCAACGAGTTTTGTTCGGCCAGTGGGGCTGGTGATGGCGTTTTGGAACTATTCAAGTTTACATGCAACCAAAAAATGAAGGATAAGAATATATCAATTGTGTAAAAATTAAACAATCAAATCAGTTCCCAGAATGATATAGTACTCAACTGACAATATATTGCACAAGCACAGAAGTTTAAAATGGTCAGCATGTTAAACATATGCAGCAGAGTGTCATACAGCATGTTAAGAAATTGGCTTAATTTCTTTGGGCAGGTTCCTTGCTTTGTGTGGAAATAACTAGTTTCCTAATTGTTTAGTTACTTGAAGTAGTTGACAAGTTATTTCCTATTTTGTATAAGTTTAGGAATTAGAAGCTATTTCCTATTTATTACAAGTTTAGAAATTCATAGTTGTTTCCTATTGTTATTTGGTTCTTGGCCAAGTAACATTCTCTATAAATAGATAGATTAGCATTCTACAAAGACACACAAGAAAAGGGATGAGAGGGTTCTTGATAGGAGAGAGTGGTTATACAAGGGTTGAGCTTGGGATTCAAGTTGTAATCTTGTAGTATTTTCTCTCATAATAACAACAGGTTTTCTCTCCAGGGATGTAGGCTTGGTGATTAAGCCAAACCACGTTAATTCTTGTGTATGACTCATTATTCGTGCTAGTTCTTGTTTTCTATTAAATTGTTGGTTTTTCATATCTCAAATAGTTGGCCTGATACCCTAACACAGCACAATCCACAGAAAGTGACTTTCCAAAATAGCTTTTATGTGTTGTTTAAAGTAGCAAAAAAGGCACATATAATTCATCTTCACTACGGATGTCCCGAAAATGAAATCAAAAGCATCAACCAATCTGCCACAGACATAAAATTCTTTGATATTGTGGTTCTACAGTGACACCTTCGCCATTTAAGCCATGCCTTGTCTTCATGCAGTGTCCGATGGAGTTTAACTTTTACAGATTGAGGACTCTACATCAATTAAAATTGGTTGAACTCAGAATAATATGCTCTAGCGTAAATCAAGTTTCTCAAGTTCTGTATAGAATAGTTAAGCTTACAGTTTAAGAGTACAATAATACACTCAATTTTGAAATTCCAACATATAAAAGTTTTCCTTCATTGACAAATCTAAATAAAATCCATCAAACTCCAAGGCTCCTAGCAGCATGTACTCAGAAAGTAAGTTCTTTTGCACATAAAGAGTCTTATACAGATAAACACAAAAGAGAATTTGAATCATACTCGACTGCAGTATTTTTACAAGAGGTATAACACATTGTTTCAACTCTAGGCTAAAAATGCTCCACAGCAAATTTTTAAGAGGTAGAATTAAATTATAGAACACATAGGCCCATAATAAGAAGACAACCTGGAGCAATGTTTCGTTGCAAAGAGGACTTAGTTTAAGCAAATTATCCATTGAGCTTGTTTCATTTTTTACAAATAAAAAAAAATTCTTAAATTTGTGCAATCACCAGACTAATGAGACAACCAAATGAAGGAATGAGCGGGTTTTGAATTCCATAAACAGAACAAGAGGCAGGGAAAAGGCTCCATAAAGAACACCATTAGAAGAGTGAACATCTAGAATGCAAATAGCTTGGAGAAAGACATGAAAATGCATATTAAGGCCTATTACAGACTCAACAATTTCCTTCTCTTTCCATGCACTGTCAAGCATCATTCTCCATTCATCTCTTCCTACTTCCAGGTAGTGTCTTGTCCCTTGGTTCACAATTTTGGCTTAGCAACTTCCCTCCATCACCATCCACCTAATAACTCCACTCACCATTCATTGTTAATGTCTGAAAACATCTTTCTCTTCTTATTCAGCACAAGGTCACCTCTGAATCTTATAAGTTGTCAGCCAATGCTGCCTTTCAACTACTTAAATTTATCAAGTCCACTTAAAGGGCCTCAATCTCTTCAGCCAGTCAGCCATTTAAAGGCCAAGCTTTAGTTCCACCATATGTTCTCCTACTATCTTAACCATGCCAAATAAGCTCTTGGATCCAAGAAACCCACTTGCAGAATCAAGCAAAGTAATTCTACATTACTAGGGAAACCTGTACCAGATTCTAGTACAAACATTTTTCATCATCCGGAGATAAAAGTTCCAACATATGAATCTCAATGCCTATTGTTCAGTAATGCAACTCCGAATAACTGAGTGGCTGGAGCTTTCGAAAAATCTAAGGCTCTAGTTCTTGAGCATTTCATATAAATAGTGATCCATTGGCTTCATTTTTACATTCATCAAATAAATTAGCCATATAATATATAGGATAAAATACTCTTACTTTTAGTACCCAAAAAACAAAAAATTGGAAGCAAATGCAAGTTACATCTCACAACACAATCATTGCATGCCCAAACCAAACAAACAAGAAAACAGGGTTATGCCACTCTTTTTACCTGTGAACTTATGGAGTTGAGCAAGGATGTCTCCTTTAGCATTAACTCCTTTATCTCCAGTAGTGCATTGAAGGTTTCATAGTATTTTCGAGTTTGTCGAAGCTTTTTCTGAAGAATACCAGTGACACGACAATTTAGTGGCTAAATGCCAATAAATGATTTTTTTTTTTTTTTAAAAAGCATCAAACATGCAGAAAATGTCCATACCTGAATGCTGGTATAAAGCTGTGAACAGCATAGTTCGTACCTGAAAATAAAGTTTATTGGATTATTATACTATACGGAGAAACAAAAGTCGTAAAATGTACTACCGCATGGCCTAGTTTCCTACAACAGAACACCATGACCCGTTAATAGTCTGAAACTTTTCTTTACCAAATCAACGATCACAAACAGGTCTCGGCAAGTGCAAAATGCCAAAAAAGTGGTTTTCTTTGTATGAGAAGTCCTTGCTTTCATGACAAAAAATAAAAATTCTTGAGAGTAGCAATAATAGTAAGACACTTTAATTGCTAAATGAATTTCTAAAGCAATACCGCTATGAAAAACTGACATACTGGAGGAGTTCAGCAGGTACGGGAATGTCATCAAGCTGTCTTCTTAGCAGTAAGATAGCTCTTAATTTAGATGCGAGCTCCTGCCAACAGATCATAAACAATTTGCCACACACAATTTAATAATCCTAAAGAATATGCCCTTTGAATTGTACTTGAGGCCCTATGCTGATTGATAAAGAAACATTCTGACTGGCAAAGAAATAGGAAAACTAGAAGGGTAAATAGGAAATCCAAAAATCAAAACAACATTTTTAGTGTTTCCGATGTCTCCAAAGATCCCAATAAGTAACTAAGCATGCCTAGAGTACCAATAAGGCACAGCAGAGTGTGATAAACTACTGCTATTCATAAAAAACAACCCAAATTGAGGGTATTTGTCTGGGTTTTCACCTTTAAAAGAGTGAGGTTTCCACCTCGGCCAAACTAATTTCTCTTTCTCCGGGAAACCTACATATGTAATAAAGTAGTATATCAAAGATAATTCACTATAGCTCCTTCAATTATTTATAACTCCTTGGTCACCAACCACAATCCTTATGCCATTCAAGAAAATCAATTTAGTGACCTACTACTGAGAATCATAAAGTCAAATACTTAAAGGATCCGCATTGGTATAAAGTTTTTATAAAAAAGGGGCATTTCAATGACTGTTTCGAGTATAAATAATTTCTACAAAAACTAATGTCATTTCAATATCAAATCCTTTCAAGCTGTAGATCTAGGAGAGACGCAAAGGATTTAGTACTTACCTTCTTCAGCATATTCAGTCTCTCCTTAGACTCATTTATACTGTCATCAAGAATGCCATACACAAAATCCCCTCCTACATCATTTTGTAGCATATCCTCGAGCTCACTAACCTCAGCCAACAATTTCGCATATTCTACAATACAACGGGATTGGACTTCTGATTCCTGCCTTTCAAGATCCTGCAGCAATCCAATTTCCAAGTACCAAAACCATTAGATAACACACCAATATACACCTACATTTGCATGCATAAATGTCAGCATGTAGCTAAATACCCATATGTTTATTCATACGGACACGTACTAAGAAATGACCATAACCCACCCCCCGGGGATTTAAGAATATGTTATTTCCCAACAAAGCTACAAATCTCACTTACTTCCAACCAAAAAGTAAATTCGGCCCTGCTAAAGATCAAAAGGAAAAACATAAAGTCCCACTGCCTGCTCCCCCCCCCCCCCCCCCCCCAAAAAAAAAAGTCCTGACTCCTGCATCCACCAGTGAAGTGTTAGGTACTATTTATCTTATTAATTTTCTTCATGAGCTTTAGTCAGTTTTGTCTATGTTCTTTTTCATACTTTTGTCATAAGATCATAAACAAAAAAAAAAATTTATCAAATTTGAGAAGAGAATGCAAGAAGAGCACTATTACTCACTAACACATTTATTATCAACGTCGCAACTATTGAATGATCAGATCGAGAAGCTAAAAATAAAACAAACTAGCTCTAAAGTGCATCCATAACACATTGAAAAAGAAGCAACTTTCCAAAAAGTAATTCATTAGACCTTGTAATTCATATTGACAAAAACAAACTTTTGGCACAAAAAGAGCAAGAAAAAACTAATGATTAAAAAGTTCCAGAGAATCATAAGCAAACCTACCTCGATTGCGTCCAAAAGTGATTCCAATTTCTCAACCGTTGTTGAATCTGCAGAGGTTTCATAATTAATCTCATTAAGACCCTGCAAAAAAAAAAATTTTTTTTTTTACAATTCTTCACCTTTCTTCGGGTCATATAGGGAGAATTAGAATTAGAGGAGGAAAGAATCATCAAGCCTTATAAATTGAACAGTAAGGAGTGATAATTACCTTATCCATCTTTGATGATGAAGTTTGCAATTTTGTGTGATTTCTTCTTTCTCTGCAATGTCCGGTCTCGACTCTGGAAGCGTTTGGGAAGGAATTAATATTTTGGGCAAATTACATTAGAGCTCCTCTTAAGTTTTATAATTGAAGAAACTGCGCGTTGATTTTTGAAATTATAGTTACACTGGAATAGTCTTATAGGGTTTTCTCATCGGGCCCATATTTGATCCATATTTTAGTTGTTGCCAAGGAAAGAAAATTTCCAATATTAGTAGTCAATCATGATAAATTGTCAATTTCTTTTAATAATCTTTGTAAAAACTATATTGGTTATCTTTCGCTTCTAGAATTAGTAGTCAATAATCAAGTATATAATTTCATTTCTGAAAATTTTGAAATTCTTACAATTATTTGTAAAAGTATTTCAGTAGCAGTTTCTCATAATTATGATTCTTTTCCTCTTTTAACTTAATACAACAAAAAATACAAAATCAAAATAAAAAAATACTTTTAACTTAAAAATATTATATAATAACATGATTTTAAGCCACCGAGTACGACTCATGATATTTAACCTATTTATAGCCTCTATGTTAGTTTAAAAATAGTGTTGATCAAATAAAAATGAAAAGACTTATTTTAAAATATCTTATTGTGATATTCCTAGTAAGGGATCTATTTATATAACTTAGTTAAAACTCTTTATGTGCTTCTAAAATGGCTTTCCATTATTCTAATGACTTTTAGAATTTTATTACTTCTTTAACATTAAAATTTAATAGATTACAAAAGAACATTATGCCATAGCTTTTATAATACTCGACGTATCATTATCTAATTAGATATCAAATAATAAATATATATTAACAATATATATACATATATATATTGTTTTTAAACTAGTGTCTAGTCAAAAGTGACAAATAAAATAACTTACTATTTTCTTTTCGATAAATGGATTCACAATATGTTATCCAAATATTAATGTACAAATCGAGTAAACATGGAATGGAAGGTCCAAATTGTTGCTGATAGGACTTCAAGGGAGTTAAGTGCAATGTTTCCGGGACAAAATACAAAAGAGAACATTAATTCGTAGGAGTAATTATTAAAAAGAAAAAGGTTTGAAGTCCCCAGAAACCCTGCACCTCTGAGAAAACAAGTTTAAAACCCTAGAACTTTCAACTGCTTACCACTCTCTACTCGTCCAGTCCTCGTCCTCCGCATCGGGCTAACAATGGCGACTATGCTGGTAAGTTGTCCTTTCTAGATTCTCTACGTATATCGCATGTATGCAAGTTCGCATCTTTTGCCGCTTCATTTCTTTGCACTGTCATGATTCGAAGAATGTGAGAGAAAAGTATATCAGAAACTGCAGAAATGAAGATGATTCGGAAATTTTACGACCACCAAGCTCACTTCTTAAAGATTAGGGGTAAAATTTATGTTGAGAAAAAACGAAAGAAAGAAAGAAAGAGTAGGAGAAGTGCTGTTGATCTGTTGAGTGTGAGCTCTTTGTTGCTTAAATCTGTATATTACAAAGGTAAGCTCAATCGAGGTGTTTTTGTTAGTGCGGTTTAGTTGGAAAAAAAACTCGTTTTATTGAGTTCCTGTAGGTTTAATAAAATGTTAAGTGCTTGAATTTTTCTTTTCTTTTTTTTTTAGCCCTGTTTTCTCTTTTTTAGTTTTTGGGCAATGGGAAGGAAGAGATAGGGAAAATGTATGTCAAAATGCTTTATTCTTTATGTTTCTACAGGAAGCGAGGGAAATTAAGGGAAAAAAATGACCAAATTGTTGGTGAAATTTGTAAAATTAGTGGGATTTTCTATTGCATTTTTTAAATATTTTCAACAGTACTAAATGAAAAATTTTGCATCTCCATATAAATAATAAAATATTCAAGAAATAACGTTCCATTTTATTAATTAGAAAGAGAAGGTAGTTTTTTTAATATGTTAAATTTGCTTGATTTAGCTTACTGTATAGAGAGTTGAAGAATCTGAAGATAAATTAATCCTTCAACTAACACTATTCCTGTATGTGGCAATAAAACAGCAACCTCAGATCATACTGCTAAAGGAAGGCACTGATACATCCCAAGGAAAGCCACAGTTGTTGAGCAATATAAATGCTTGTACAGCTGTGGCTGATGTGGTGCGCAGCACCCTTGGACCTAGGGGTATGGACAAGTTGATCCATGATGAGAAGGGTAACACCACTATTTCCAATGATGGTGCCACAATAATGAAGCTTCTCGACATTATTCACCCTGCGGCTAAGATTCTTGTTGACATTGCCAAGTCCCAGGACTCTGAGGTACCTCTATTGTGGTTACTGCAGTTGGTTTTGTGTTTTTGTTTTCATGAATGATCGATGTTGTTTGATGCAAATTCATTTGAGTCAAGAATAATGATTTTTTTTTTCTAAATATAAAATTAGTGGATTAGCAGCATGTTAGAAATATAGTCATACTGTGATTTTTGGGTAATGAAAAAATAGGAATTTCTGCAACCATGTAGCAAATGGTCTGTTCTAGTTTGCTTCTACTCAGTGTCACATCTGTCATGTGACTAATCTGCTAGCTGGACAATAAAAAAGTGGGATGCCACTTCCGTTGTTGTCCTCAATAAATGGAAGGTTAAGACAAAATAACTTTTGTTGTTGGTTGGGATTAGAAAAAATTGTCCTTTGCCTTCAGGATGAATGAAACAATATGCACATTATCTTGAACTCTTGGCCTTAAGTTATGTAAATAAGAACTGGCACATTATGTGTGCCATCTCATATTTGTTCACTGTGCCTTGTTACAGATTTTTTTTTTTAACCTCAATGATTTACAACATGCAGATGTCATTTCTGCCATTACTTGCACCTTTTAGGCCATTTGGTATATGTTGTATGATTATGTTTACTGTTGCTTAGAGATTGATTGGAGGATGGGAAGATACTTGACAATTAAATCACTTGTAAATAAGTTAATAGTTAGTGCATTTTAGTCCTAGGCATTCATGCATGATTGTTTTCATGTCATCTTAAAGTTTTAAATATTTGCCTGAGCGGTTAATATTTTGAAAAAGCTGACTTATTTCCTGCTGTGCTTCAGGTTGGTGATGGGACCACAACTGTTGTTTTGCTAGCAGCAGAGTTCTTGAAGGAGGCAAAACCTTTTATTGAAGATGGAGTGCATCCTCAAAATCTGATTAGAAGTTATCGTACAGCTGGCCATTTGGTACAAGCATAGAACTATATAATTCTCACTGGCCTTTAGTGTTTGACATTAAATCTAAACTGACTGTTGATTTAATCACTCATGCTGCTATAGGCAATTGAAAAGGTGAAAGAATTGGCTGTTAGCATTGAAGGAAAGAGCTTAGAAGAGAAGAAAAGCTTACTAGCTAAGTGTGCTGCTACATCACTCTCCTCAAAACTCATTGGTGGTGAGAAGGATTTCTTTGCATCTATGGTTGTAGATGCTGTCCTTGCTATTGGAAATGACGATAGGCTAAACATGATTGGTATCAAAAAGGTATGCAATGGGTGCTTTTAGGTATTAGTTCACGTGCTTGTAAACTTTTTTCCAGGTCATGGGATACTTTAATAACCATCTAAACCGCTCATCGAATTCTGATAATTTATCTTTTGAGAGATTGGTGTGACTTATATTTTGTCCTTCAGAGTTTCGAATTTTTATTTCTCCTCATTTTTACTCTTTATAGATCCGGTATGTTGTTTTGCATTTGATTCTCTTCACGGGTTATGCATTGTAGCTACAATTGCTTGGAAGTTTGAAAGCTTTAGTAGTAGAAGCAGTCATTCACTTGGGTGTTGTTTAAAGAACTTTTTGGGTCAGTCTTTCCATTCATTTTCTGTTCTATTTTTTGGGTAGGTAAATTGTTTTCTTTGTTCAAGTAAATTCCTTTAAGGAATTCATCCGCTTATCTCCTTCTTATTAACCTTTTCATGCTTTCTATTTCTGTCATATGGTAAGGGTATCGCCTATCAAAATTTGCCTAGTATATCGCATTCCAAATTCAATCTTGCATATATTTCCTAACATTTCTTTTGATAGCTCACAACATTAAGGGATTTAATAAACAAAAAGGCTGAGTTTCCAAAATGTTTGTACCAAATTAGACACAGGGACTCCAAAATTCTTTGCTACCGTTATCAGCGCTTTGTTGTTGACTTTTGATTCACTTAGACAAGGGTTTGTAATGGATAGAAATGACATAGTGGACTTAAGCTGTCGCAGAATAGCATCAAGTATTTGTAATAGATAGTTTTTGAATAGATACCTGAGTCTATATGTTTTTCTTTCTATCCATGATGTGGATTGATAAAAGTTTGATAATCACAAGGCTGGTGATCTTCTTGTAACTAATTTTTCTTTTTTAAATTTGTACCCAACTTGAAAAAAGTTTTTCGTGGTTTAGCAATCTTGTCTTATGCAGATTCTAGTTTGGGGGAATATCTGAGTGCATAAGATCCTTTCTCTGAAAGTGCCTTGTTTTTCTGCTATCACCACTATATGGTAATTAATGTCGGCTTCCAAACAATACTGTGCAATGGATGAGCAGATTGAGTGTTTGTCTTAGATGTGGAAATTAAACTCATATGTGTATACCATTTGTCTCTTTTCACACACCTGAGTTCCATCATATTTGGATGGGTGGCTAGACTTTTTTGATGCATTCTTCAGAGACTATATATACACTATTGGCCCACTTCACCTTTACTACATTTCAGTTTTGGGTCAATAGTACTTAACTAGGATCAGTTTTTTGGGCGATATATGTTGTGCATGGTTTAATTTTCTATGCTTGTCCTAAGCCATTACATTGTCATCGTGTATAATACAGTCATGATAACTGTTATATGGTTTTAGGTTATTTTTATGCCCTTCTCCAGCTTGACCTTTTTACCTGTAACAAAAGCTTGAAATTTTGTGGTTTCATTGAAGTATGTAATGATAAGAATCTTACTTTTGTAGGTTCCTGGTGGTAACATGAGGGATTCTTTTCTTGTAAATGGCGTTGCCTTTAAGAAAACATTCTCATATGCTGGTTTTGAACAGCAACCAAAGAAATTTGTAAATCCCAAGATACTTTTGCTGAATATAGAATTGGAACTGAAATCAGAGAAAGAGAATGCTGAAATAAGGT